AGAAGGAAAGGAGTGTTGGTGTATGGTGTTCGCAGTTGTATAGGTATACTTTCCCTAAATTTTTATTTACAATGAGGTAATTGGTAGTATTGGTTTTATTGTTTTTGAATCAAAGCTCAATCCACCATTCATTTCAACGAATGATGGATGGGGCCGAGGGAGCAAATGTACAATTTGCTTCCATGAGAGCATAGTGGGCATGCTTTTTTTTGACATATCAGTAGTTTCTTTTACTTTTATTTTGATTTAATTTATGCGTGGACTTGTCTAATGTCTTAATTTTTAGGCAGCATATCTGAAAGGTATGTGTGAGAAATGGACATTCGTATCAATGTTTGGGTAAGACAGCTGCAATAATGCATATGTTAAGGATTATCATCATCATCATCTAAGCATTATCCCAACTATTTGGCGTTGGCTACACGAATCCTGTTCCACCATTCCACTCTATCAAGGGCCATCTCCTCAATTAGAACACAAGTCACCATATCTCTTCTTACTATCCATGTACTTACCTTTTAGAGCCTTCCACTTAGACCAAATTGCCCCTTCTCACTGGTGTTGTTCTAGGTCGACACTATACATGGCCAGCCCACCTAAATCACTTTCGCGCCTCTTGTTGCCAAGTGGAACTACCTTAAGTTCCCTCGGATGTATTCATTCCGAATTTTATTCTTTCTTATCTTGCCACGCATCCATCTCAACTACACTCATTATAGATATGTTACTTATTGACCACCTAACATTCCGATGCATAAAACATGGCTGGTCTTACAGCCATAAAACTTGCCCTTCAGTTTCATTGATATGTGGTGATCACATAAAACTCTAGAAGTACATCTCCACTTTACCCGCCCTACTAATTTTATGTGCGACATCTTCTTCAATCTCTCCATTCTTATGGCCCCATATATCGAAAATAGTCTCTTTTAGTTACTTCTTGGCCCTTGCATATGTTAAGGATACTGATTAAAAATGGAAAGTAAAGCTTATGGTTGTGCAATTGATTGTGACAACAATTTTTGTGCAATGTCCATGGGAGCACTTTCTATGTAAGCAACATTTCCACTCTTGGATGTGGAAAATTCAGGATGAAATGCAGCTTGAAGCGTGGGGACTGGCATTAATTTGTACATATAATGATCAAAAGTATCAGTTTCGACACTCACACCAATAACAAAACCTTACTAATAAAAAAATGGACATTTCTAATGTTTCCAAGGAAGCAAAAGAAAAAAAGAAACAGAAGGATATTTCTGCATTCACTGTTAGTCTGGAAGCATATGTATCTTAGAGTGATATCAAGTTGTCAAGATCAAATGACTTATCATTTGCCATCCATGTCGAGGAGAGAGTAACCGCACCAGTGTCCAATAGTCCAATTATTTCACCTATGCAGATACCCTGTTATTCTGTTTTTTCAGATGATAGATTTCTTTTAATGTGTGTTGGCTATGCAGATTGAGGGACCAAAATCCATAGAGGTGTTTATTCCCATTCTTCAGAAAGTAGTTGAAGAGAGTGGCACAGTGCTTGTTGCCGCTAGGATTGAGGAAGAAGAAAGGAGACACGACAGACGTTTGAGGGAAGAGCAGGATGCTGCATATCGTGCAGCACTTGAAGCTGACCAAGTATGCTGTGTCTTTTTAACTATTTTTTGTTTCTCTCTCTCTCCTCTCTTCACGTATATTATTTTACAACCATAATTTTTATTGCTGTGTATGATGTTGATATCTTCTTGAACCTCAGGCTAGGGAGCGCCAAAGAAAAGAAGAGCAAGAAAGATTGGAAAGAGAGGCTGCTGAAGCTGAGAGAAAGAAGAAGGAAGAAGAAGAGGCCTTGGCCAAGGCAGCCCGAGAGACTGCTGAGAAAGAAGCTGCTCTGGAAAGAAGGCGTCAGGAGAAAGCGTTGTCATTGGGTGCTGAACCTGAAAAAGGACCAGATGTGACAGAAGTAAACTACTGCTTTCTTTGAATGCCCAACTTCTTTTCTTTTTTTTGAGAACTGTTAACATTGTATTTCTATAGAAGTTTACAACTGTTAACATTGAATGCCCAACTTCTTATTGATCCATGTCTTCCAGAGTCATCTGGAATCCCTTTTCTTGCTGAATTTCATGGATGTTTTATATGTTTTCAGTTTTAATTGGTAGGAGCCAGTTCAGTATAGAACGGGGATCCAGCAGGTCTGCATTTGCATGTAGCTGTAGCCTTTTGTGCCGTCCAATTGAAACAGGCAGCAGAAGATGCACTGTCACCATCTCAGTGTCGGTGCATCTTACGCTGTCCATTTTTGTCGGACACGCAACTGCATCCGCTCGAAAACATTTACTGTCAGTATATTGTTCATTATCATCTGGATTGATTAAATATAGAATAATTAACAGGATCTGTTAGGATTAAGTAGTTTTAGATGTGAAAAGCAGTTGTATCTCCAACTGCTTTCCCTGTCCCATATAGAGATTGACTGCCAATCCAACATTTTGGTACCCCAGTCATGTGTCCTTGTCAACTTCTCATTGTTAAACTTCATCTTTGGTGCCACCATGTGTTTGGTTTTTGTGGCTATGATTATTTATCTCCAGGAGTATCAATAATTTGCATAAAAAGTCTTGCCGCTATCATTTACCAATTGTATTGGCATATGATATGCATCTATGCATGCCCTAACCGACGTGGTTTTCCATGTGGTTTATAGTGACAGGAAGGAGCCATTCGACATTTTAACTTCTACTCATGTTATTACCAGGTTGTTTTCTCATGATTGTTGAGTCTTCTTCAATATTTACATATTCACGGAATGGGTTTTCCCAATGATAATATCTTAGTTGTTTTCCTGTGAGTGAAACATAAAGCTCTTTCTGTGGGTGAACCCTGCCATGGGTGAACGTGTCTAAGGTATCCCAATAATTTGGGCCAAAAAGCCAATACAGCTTTACATGTCTATGCAAGTATTTATATAGAAACTCTGTATTATGTATAGATAAATATTATAGAAAACTTTAATGTAATGAAAAGATATGCGAAAATAGAAAAATAAAAACATAATCTGAAATTTTGTCGTAACAAAGTTTAAAAAATATGCCACATAAGTAGTTTTTTACTTTTCTTTTTGAACATAGAGTTTCTTAGACAACCTATTGATATAATTGTGCAAACTATATAATAATTGTCACTTTAGGTGTTAGAAGTAGTAGTTAAAATTGACAACCAAGAAATACCAAAAAGAGTATACTTTTGATATCTTTTGGGTCGATAATCCAGGAATATTGAGAGATTGAGGAAGATGTCGCACGTGTAATTAGAGCTGGGTGGACGAAGTGGAGATGTGCACCGGAGTTTTATGTGACCGTCGCATATCAATGAAGCTGAATGGAAACTTCTTTAGGACAGCTATGACATTAGCTTTACTTTATGGGGCGGAATATTGGGCGGTCAAGAAACGGCATACCTATAGGTAGTTGAGATGAGGATGTTGAGATGGATGAGTGGCAAGACAAGTGGAAATAGAATTTGAAATGAATACATTCGAGAGAACTTAGGTGTGGCTCCAATAGGTGATAAGAGGAGAGAAAGTAGACTGAGGCGGGCTGACCATGTGTAGTGCTGACCATGTACTAGCACCTATCAGGAGGTGCGAGTTGCTTCAAGTGAAAGGCTCAAAAAGGGAAAGGGATAGGCTGGAAGGATACGGTTGGAAGTAATAAGAAGAGATACGAGGACTTATGGCCTCATTGAGGGTAATGGCCCTTGATAGAACGGACTAGGATTCATGTAGCCGACCCCAAATAGTTGGGAAAAGGTTCGGATGATAATGATGATGATGTGAGAGTTAGAGAGAGAAACCTTGCTTTAGATTAGCCATTTTATCTCACGGCTCACATGATGTAGGACTAAGGGGTTTGATTCCTAACGTATGGCACACGAGGCTGGTGTAGAAAGAAAGATTTTGGGGATGACTAGGAGTTCTGAATAGGTTTGGATTAAGAGTCCTAAAAGGATTTAGGTTCCTATGAAAATTGGGATGGCAGGTTTTGGGCCTTATGAAGATTTCTGAATTGAGATTTGGATAATGAGGTCTATTTGAAGTAGAACCACGTAAAAGGTCATAGAGAAGGGTTTGGTTGGGTTGGACGAGGTCTAGGTAGGTTTCAGGTTTAGTGTTAAAGATGCTGGAATCTAGGAGGTCTAGGAAGGTAGGAGGATGATGAGAAAGATTTTGGGTTATTAGGACTTAGGACTAGGGGCAAATCTAGGGTTTAAACTTAAGTTTGAAGGTTATGGAGGCATTAGGGTAGCTTGTGAACCAGTTTATTTATGTAGGGTTTGGAGAAGTTTGGCTAGGGTTTATGGAAGGATTTGAATGGGTGACAAATTTGGTTATTGAGGATCTTAGTTGGGGATGTGCCACTGAAGGCTTAGCTTGTTGGGGAGATCTCCTTAATCGTAAACTAGATTTGTAGAATCACCCTCTCTACAAAAAGAGTTTAAAGAATTTCTCAACCAAAGAATTAAAAAAAATAAAATAAAATAAAAATCTCTCATCCAAAGGTGGTGTTTCATCACAATTGAAAACTTAAGTTCTATTTCTCAAGAATTGATTGCTTGGCCAATGGCCTGTGCATCTACTTATAGTGGTTTCCAAATCCTAATCTTCCATAGTCGAATTATAAAACAATAAAAAAAAGCTTCCCCATCAAACTAGAAGACAATGAAAAGGGTTCTAGTCCTTATAGGAAAGAACTTCTTTAGTGTCCCGAGAGAACTTCTTTAGTTCCTTGGGACACTAACTTTAAACCCATTACAACTAGGAAATAATTAGAAAAGAAACTATTATCAATTTTGAGAATCTATTGGAGAAACTATACAAACAAATCCTAATCTAATTGGAACCAAAAAGTACTCCACTTTTACTAGGAAATCCGCCTGGGGACCCATGCCGATCTTAAAGTTCCTCTAGGCTTCATATTTTCATTTGTATTCATTTCACGGTCCACTTTTTCATGCCATCTCTTTGCTACCTTGGATTTTGTGCCGTCATTGCATTTGTTTTTAACTGAACAACACTTCTTACATGTCCGTTGAGATGTTTTGTTTAGAGCCTTGACATGGAAACATGTATGTTCCATATGTCTGATCCATAGTTACCGGAATCTGTTCCCCGACCTCACGTTTCCGGTTTTGAAACCCAATTCCACGTTTCCGTTAAGAAATCTCCACGGAAACCGTTTTTCGGAATCAAGAAAACTCGATTCTTTAATTTCGGAATCTCGATTCGACACATCTTTAGAAACCATTTTTTGGAACCAGGGAAATTTGATTCCTTAATTTCAAAATCTCGATTCAACACATCTTTAGAAACCATTTATCAGAACCAAGGAAACTCGATTGCTGAATTTCGGAATCTCGATCCAACACATATTTAGAAACTTGGACCTATTAATTGTGGGTAGCCGTTCCCAAATATATCGAATCTGGATAGTGAGGATTAAATTTTGATTCCACATCAATTCGAGTAGAAATCTTCTTTCGAATGCTTCTAGCGGTAGCAGGATTTCATTATTTTACTTGTGTCACCCTGGATGGCCTTTAAATTTAAAATATAGCTGATAAATACAACGCATACAATTAAAAGTAAAACCATGGCGTAGACATAATCCTATTTTGTTTTTATAATAATGAAGTCAAAATCACAATTTAGAAATACTTGTCTTTTGTATATAATGACTTTAAGTTCAATAGTCAACACAATCACTTTAAAATTTGGGAAACCTTCTAATAAGAGACATCCAATATAGGTTCTAAAGTTGATGAGGTTCAAGATGTGCTTGTGGCTCCCTTCTCCATAAAAATGAAATCTCGATTTCTGGTAGGGGTCATCAAACACATTCCATAGTCGATATTATTATAAATCTCGATCTCAAACTGGCATGGACCCCTTATCCATATACTTCAAAAACTTGATTCCAAATATGTTAGAATCACGATTCGAAACAGCAACATATCTCAGTTCCACATATGTCAAAAACTCGATTCCATAGATGTCGGAAACTCGATTCCGTATATTAATGAATCTTTACTTCTGGAGTGTCGATTCTAGGGGGATGGGAATCTCGATTCCATATGTGGATGAAACTTAGATCTATTTCAGTTGAAACACGATTCTCAAAAACTAGGAATCTCATTCCTAGCGATTCCTATTGTACGGACAATGATTCCTAAAACAGGAATCTTCTAACTGGCTGTGATTCCGGTTCCTAAACGATTCAGGTTCCTAGGCGTTTCCAACAACTGTGGTCTAATCAATGGCATGTATTGGAGTTCTAACACGCGGTACAAAAAAGCAAGGTGTCTACTTGCCATTGACAGCAGTCGTTGGGGATCAAAGAGGTATTCGTGGCAAAGCTTTGCATGGCCATACTTGTATGTTAGGATCTCAGGTGGTTGTGTGGGAATGGTTCCTTGTGCATCTCAACCATATTTCACAACCCCAAACCTAGATCCTGACTTGGTCAATCACTGAGTCAAATCGACGTAAGACTAGGTGGCGCAATTGGGAGGTCAAATATAGAAATTTTGAACATTTAAGATAATTTTATCTCGTAAAAAATAATTTTAACACTTCGAAAATAAATACATAAAATATCCAACTGAAAGGAAGATAATCTTGTACATCTACATCAAAATTGTTCATATATTAATTTGAGAGAAGGATGATCTTTTCAAAAAATAAGTATTTGAGGAAGGTATTATACCAAAAAAAAGTATTTGAAGGAGGGATGATTAATACTATTCTTTATAGCAATAAATTTTATTATTAAAATAAAATTATAAAGAAAATCAATAGCATAAAACAAAGGCCAAGAGATATCACGACAACATCTTAGGATTACAAAATTGAACTTGCGTCAACATAGAGTGATTCTTGAATAACTCCATTGGCAAGAGTATCTGCCTCTTGGTTTAGCTCCCCAAAGAATGTGCACGTCACATTACGAGTGTTATGAATGTTGAAGATCTCACAAATATCATAGCCAACCGTTATGGAATAGAGGACGCTTTTCTGGCCCATCTTATGATATCATGATATTACTTTCTTACTACTAATTGACGTCTAAGTGACTGATTTGCAGACTTACAATTGCACGGGCCTCTGCTTATGTAGAATCACGTGTTCCCAGTGGGCCCAGATGTCTTTTAAGCTTCCTACCTTAATATCTATGAATTCCACTCACCTGCTACTCCCAGGTTACCTCATGAATATCCATCAAAACTTAGCTTCATATGACCCTCCACCAGAGCAATCCAAACTGCCCTAGATTGAAGCAAGGGTGGACCTGATAAGGTGAAATCTTCCAATCCTTGATGAAGTGCCTTGAAACCTCGAAGTCTGGTAGAAGCAACACCCAGAAAGTCTCCACATTCCTAATTATCTCCCGAAGGACCAACTAGTGCACCCTTTTGATCCTAGGAAATACGATAATTCCGTTCAATTCAAATGCACCAAATAATGGCTGTAATGCTTATTACCAAAGCACCTGGACCTAGGTGGGATTCCCTTAGACACATCACCATAAGGTCATCCACAGAAGCTGAAATTGGTACCGCATGACAGAAAATAGGTCTATATATGGTCATGGTATACCTATAATGAATAAGGAGGCTTGCTATTTCCTCCTCAGCTCAACATAAAATACGGAATCTGCATCTCTCCTCCGAAGGCGATCAATCGTCAATACACCATGGCATGCCAACCATCCAACAGCTAAGACCTGGAGCAGAGTGTGGACCCTCTAGACAATCCTTGGATGCGACAAGTGGCTATTATCACCTAAATATATATCCCTCCCACATCTTCATGCTCTGATTATTTATTTGTTTTCCTGTTTAATGTCAACTGTCATTTTATTTCAAGAGAATATCAACTGTGAGTTAATAATACTGTTGATTATATATAGGTGACGATCATTTGGAGAATGGGAGAAATATTTGTATGGGGTCGTAAAATATATGAATACCTACTCTATGGGAGATAGTTGTAGAACAAAGGACAAAGAAATCCGCTGCTAAGCTCCCATAATATTTAAACAACATTGAGAGTTCGCCTTTTTTAAAAATAACCAAAAACTCTGAGAAAGAGAAAAAGGTCATACCCACATATCATATTCTCCTATTATTTTGGAGTTTCTTCAAGGTTCAGGGGGACTTACATGATTTCTGGATAATATACAGGGGATGCATTTTAATCCCAACCCCCTGCGTCACCTAGATCTCTTCCATCTTTGGTCCCGAATCCCCTTATGGTTTGGTTACACCTGTCAGTTAAGCCCAAAGTTCAAGTTCAACATAGATTGCAAAATACCAACTCCTGACTGCTCCGCATTCTTCTACCTCAGTTTGCACCCTTTAGCCTACTCCCATTCCTGATGCAACAAGAGGCTTGTTATTTTACGTTGAGAAGGATGAATTTACTGGAGAGGTCAATTAAATTCTGTAATAGACAATTCAAATTGGTTTCAACTCCACATGTATTCTTGCCCCTTCTGCTGAATCAGTCATGCCATATTCTTCATCATGCACCTCGGCCCTTCGAGTACCTTTCTTTCTGCCAATAATTAAGTTAGGGATTTCCATCCATAACGAGGGGTTGAAGTAATTGCATGCTTGGTTGTCAAGGACCTTGCAATTGTGTAACCTCTCATATTTTAATTTTGTAGAGATTTCTGAATCACTTCATTTAGAGACCGCATTCGTTTTTCAAATACAAAAGAATGGTCCTTTTTAATTATCAGAAAAGAAAAAAAAGTCCTTTCTTGAAAAGATTCAGGTTTTCCATGTTCATCTTTAAAGAAGACGAGGAGATTATAGTCAGCATCTCACGTGATATCTAAAGGTTGGTTGTGAAAGTTTGCATGGTGAGAAATTAATATGATCAGGGTGATTTGGTTTTTTCAAAATAAAGATTGGGAAAAGAAGGGACCAAAATGTCTAGACCTAGTTCTCTCTCTCTCTCTCTCTCTCTCTCTCTCTCTCTCACACACACACACACACATACACACACATCAAAGGAGTGAAATTGTGCCTTGAATATCTAAATGCTGTTCGTATCAGTGCTGGGAAATAGTATGCTCTATATGCTCTTTGAGGTATTGATTGCTATTGTTCATCTTTCTGTTTTGATTCACCTTCGAGATTAAGCTCGTAGAAAAACTGATAATTGATGCAAATTTCAATGCTCACTCCCAGGTTCTTGTACGGTTCCCAACTGGAGAGCGCAAAGAGCGGAGGTTCCATAGCTCTGCAACAATCCACTCTCTTTATGACTATGTTGATTCATTGAACTGCTTAAATGCCGAGAAATACAGCCTGGTTACAAATTTCCCCAGGGTTGTGTATGGTCCAGATAAGTTTGACTTGTCATTGAAAGTGGCAGGTTTGCACCCACAGGTTAGTTTGTATGTTCAGGTTGAGGACTCCTAAAGTTCCGGACCTACCAAATTTAAGCACGCAGATCATCTCATTCTCATTCATATGAGAAAAATTAGCAGCGACTAAGGTAGAAGCCACAAGTTTGAGCCCGAGGTGAGTTGTATGGATCAACATGAATTCAATGCCTTAATCTGCATTAGTCATCTTCTCGCTTTGGTCTATTTTATCCTGCAACTTTACTTTCTCGTCCTTGGTCTTCAAGGGCCTTGTCTATTTTTAATGTACCGAAATGGGTTTCTAAAAAAGTGTGCACCACGAAGCCATTTTCATAGCACTTATTTAATGCTGGGATCAGATAGAAGGTCCATATTTCAATTTCTTAGTCAGGGCTAATATCATTTCTAGTGGATCAAATGGAAATGCTGGTATGGGTGGGAATGTATTGCACCAATCCAGATCAAGACGACTTTCATCGAATGCTAGTAAATAAGAGAGCTGAAATTTGTTTCAAGTATATTTTTTTTTAATGAAACTGTCTTCTGAATAGCCTTGTAGTTTTCGTCTGGATCAAGGAGACATGGATTAACTTATCTTGCTTCTGTCTATGTTTAATGCCTTTTTTTGTGCGATTGTTTCATTCGTTGTTGTCAGTCCTTATTATTGGGTTTTTTTTTTTTCAACTATTGGGAGGTATATTTTCTAGAACTGTATAGAATGAGATCATTTACATTTGATACAAGATCGTCACAAACATTATTGACCGTTAGATTTGAAATTGGGCGGTTGAGGATATATCATTATATTGATACAAAGTTCAAAACAAAAAAATTTTAATATTATTATATATTTTTATCTATTAGATTTTACATCCAATAAGTAAAAATGATTGTGACCTCTTTGTATCAAAAATAAATGATTTAATAGTATATAATTTCATATTTTTTACTTATTGGATATTTAGCCATTCACATGATATTTCATTTTATATGTAGAAAGGCGACCTCCTTTAATAATCTATTTTTGGAATAGATTTTGACCCTAATTTTTAGGAAATATGTAATCCCTAACATGGAGATCATTCATAGGTAAAAAATAATAATTTTAAAAATTAAAAATGATGTTTTTGATTCAAGCCGAAGATTTTACTTTTTGAGGAGTGATCATTTCCATGCAGGGTGGGTAGCTTGTTCCTTGGGAGATGCAAGTGTGGAGATGCATTCCCCGACGCATATAACACGTTCCCTTTCTAGAAATGTATTTCTGGAGCCCTTCCAGTTAACCAGTGATATTGGCTGGGATTGTATTGGTTTAAAACGTTGCTACTTTGTAATCACCTTCTTCAATAAGTGTAATTATTCAGTTTCATAAAAATAGGTGTAATTATTAGGTAACTATAATCGACGCCTTTTTTCTTTTCTCAAACAAAAAAAACTGACGCTTTTTTTGTAAAAGCAAATTCGTGATGGGTCTTTCACTTCTGATAGGTAATCACCCTGCCAACAAGTAATTTGTAGTTTTTTTTTGGGGGCTAATTCTGATCAGAAAGTAGTTGCGTGAAGGCAAATGCTTTGTTGGCCATATTTTATGCAGTTTCACAACTCCGGGAAAGAAAAAATTACGAATTGGAAAAAAAAAAAAGTTAAAAATGGGGTTGGAAAAAAATTAGAAATGGGGTTGAGGTCAAGATGGTAGCATTACTCGTGACTCAGCTATTCGTCTCAGTTTCTATTGCCAATGCTAATAACCTTTTCGGAAAACAATTAACAGTTTCAGCTACTTGTCTCAGTTTCTATTCTTGTCAATGCTAATAACCCTTTTGGAAAACAATTAACAGTTTTAAAAAAATGCTAATAACCTTTTTAAAAATTAATAACAGGAAAAAGGGTTTTTGGCCCTTTTTTTATTGGTCACAATTTTTGAGTACATGTATAAATTGAGTCACCTCTTCAAAATATATATTTAAAATGGATTTTTGGATGGATATGCAATCTCTAATATGGAGACCATGAATATGAAAGAATAAATAAATTTTGAAAATTAAAAGTAATAGTTTTATTAAGAAAATGTTTGGACCGTTAGTTTTAATTATTTTTAAATGGACCACCTATTTGCATCATCTTTTAATATGGATGTTTTATACCTCGGATCGCAACTGTTGAAATGTGGTCCCCACATGAAACAATTTTCCTTTTTTTTTTTGGCTTTGAAGACAAGAGAATTAGGAATTTAGGGATATATCCACAATTGGATATACAAATGAAGGAATATGCAGGAAATTCCTTAAATGCTATTAATTGGTTTAGCCGGATAGAACACCATGGATGTGGAGCCAAATAATGGAGCAAAGTGGTGCATTTTGTCTCGCTATCTTTCTGACCCCTAACTCTCCCAACACCTTTGCTTATCACTATCATCAATTTAGAAATATAATATAGAGCCCAAAGAATTGTTCAAATCGTTCCTACGGGCCACGCATTCGATGGATACTGTTCGGGTCCCTTTGCTCCCAGATTCTCAAAAAATTCACCTTTTTTCATCTCTATGTCCAATTTAGAAATATAATTTGAGTCCAAGAGTTGATCATAACTGTTTTCCCCATGGATAATCCATTTGATGATCGATTGTTGAACGATAAAGTTTGAAAGGCCATGGAAATCAACTGTCCTTTTTTTTTCTTCTTTGAAATTGTGCATGAATCAAAGATTGAAAAATTTTTGGATTTTGAAGATATCTTGACCTGAAAACCAAATATACAATTTGGTCTCGTATGACCAATCATATACATGGCCCAACAAGACAATCGCGATCAGCAAGATGCTGTTTTGGTTTTTAAAGAAGGCCAGTAAGATGCAGCTAACAGGCCGGCAGACCAGCGGTCGCCCAAGCCCAGCAAAAAATCATGATAACATGCCAAAATCGGGTGACAAAAAATTAGTTTAAAAACGTGCCTGACCTGAAATCATGGTAATGAGGCCCAAGCCCGATCTGAAAAAAGCTGGGATTAGCCCACTAGCTCATATGAATATATGAGCTCAATGGTCTAGATTGAATCTGGACCGATCTGACGATCACGGATGTCCGGTAGTGCTTAAATTTTATTTTATTTTTCTATAAATCCAAATCACTTGAAATTTTAGGTGTGTTCTTTTCATCAAAGCGCACCTAATAAAAATATAAAAAAATATATTTGTAAAAAAAAAGACCAAAATACCATGCGAAACTTTTCAGTGGTATTTTGATCAATTTATTTCACGTAAAATATTTTTTTGATATTTTTCGAATATTCACCTATTTTTTATAAACACACGCCTAAAATTTCAAGTGATTTATATTTGTAGAAAAATAAAATAAAATTCAAACACCACCGGACATCCGTGATCGTCAGATCAGCCCAAATTCAATCTAAATGGTTGGACTCACATGTTTATAAGCTAATGGGTTAATCCCAACTTTTTCTATACATATTTAACATATCCTATCTGAAAATTCTTCAGTATGTATTTAAAACTAGTTTTTTTTTTTTTTATCTATCTCACCTAAAACAATTTTTTCTAGGGGAAAAGATATAACCCCCTTCAGGTAATTATAATCCCAAAATAACCCCTAAGACAAACAAATCCCATTCCCCCCCCTTCCACCCTCTCTCAACCTCCTTTAAAGAGTCCCATCTCTCTCATCCCATGAACCTTACAGTAGTTTAAACGTCCATCTCCCCCTCATCCTGTGAACCTCACAGGTAGTCTAAACGCTGAATCTTAATTCCATTCAGGACCGTGAACATCACAGGTAGTCCAAACGTTTAATCTTAATTCCATTCAAATGAAGTGATTAAAAAAAAAAAAATACCCAATACTTTTTATTTGTTGTTTTCATATATCAATAGATCCAAAGATTCAAAATATATTTTCTAACCTCATTCCTAACTTTACTTGTTTTTAACTAGTTTTTTAATCGTAACAAATATAAAAAAAACCTGCTCATTCTAAACCCTTCCTCTCTTCACATAATATATTCAAAATATAGAAAGAAAGAGTGGAAAAATAAGTAGAGAGAGATCTAAAAAAAAATCACGTTAAGAGAGAAATTATGATGTTTAAAAAAAATATGTATATCTTATATTTGTTTGAGATAAAAAAATAGGTTGAAAGAGATAAACTAGCCTAAAAGGTTAAAAGATATAATACTTAAAATTTTTATGACTCGATATATGTTTTGAAATCTTAAATCCGCTGAGATATAAAACTTAAAAATAAAAAAATACAGAGATATTTTTCCTTTAAAAGATATATATATATATATTGTCATTTGAATCATGAAAAGGTCAGGTGGAGGTTAACAAGGTTTTTATTTAGAGGGGGTCCCGTGGGCTTCCTATAGACCCAAGGGTTTATTTGGGATAGGCATATACATCTTTTGCCCTTTTTATATTGAAGTGTCAGTACAAGCTTAGAAATTAGTATAAAATGACACTGGACTAAAACACGAAGCCATAGCAACTGGTCAATCAACAATAATCCACAAAGTAACATTAGGCACACCACCATCACTCCTTATCATTTGCCATTACATAGTGGATTTAAACTTAATTATGAAAACTTGACGTTTGATCCATATATAGATTATAAGGACAGTAGCCAAGAAACGTTCGAACAACCAAATTTGCTATGCTAAAAAGGCCACTACAGTTTGTCACATAAAGCATTACTACCTCTTCTGCTAAACAATCCAAGGGGCTCAATACAAGCTATTCATACAAAAGGTGCACAAAAAGTACATTTGCATAGATAGCTGATGTGTGATGTGTAATAATTACAGCTTCATCGAGGTTAGAATTCAAATATATAGATGTCTCAGCAGCGTAAGATGTGTATTTAGGTCCCTGATTTTCACAAAATATTTTAAGTTCCATTATAAAACAAGGCTACTTCTTAACAAAGCATCCATGGGCACGACATCATACTATGAAGGCCTTTCGATTACCAAAAACTTGCCGATGAAAGCATAAGGTGGATCAAAACTGTAGCATCTCTGCCTAAAGAAAAACAGTGGCCATTCTCAGACAAGTAGAACAGCATTTATGCAGCCGTCGTTCTCTGGGTTATTTGTTACTTGGGCATATTTACCTGCACAAATGAGCAATATATGATTGAGGAGCCAAAAAATTACGAACACCTGCACACACACACAGATGAGTCGATAGTCTCACCCCATACAACTTTGCCTGCTGGTGTAACTAGACCAAGTTCGCTCACATTCACCTGAGTATTCGAATCACAAACAATGAATGAGATTAATGAACAAAATCAATTTGGAATTTAAAACAAAATTCAAATATTACCTCTTTTATAATGAAATTGAAATAGTACCTCAATAATAGTTCCTTTGGTCACTACGCCCAGTGAAGTGTACATGGGACCATTGGGATTTTTCTTAACCCCTATCATTTCAAGATTGAATGTGCATTTCAACTCAGGGTGGGTCACATGGGCTTTGGTAAACCGAAGACCACTCGGGCGGATGAACCTTTCGTATTTTGGGGGTTTTCTTGTGAAACCAGGACCAACAAATGTCACTTTTGTAACCATTCTTTTCCACTGCTTTGCTGAGGAAACAAGAGCATAATGTTTTTGAGTCCACTACCACAAGTCCGGCGTCTCTTATAAAATGGAAGTGTTTCAAATGATCATACATAAAAATAAGTACGAAAGTTATTTTGTTAAGAAAATAACATTCATTTAACAAATGAAACATAGATTGTGTTCATAAGGTACCAGTCTTAAAAAGAAGTATTGCTCAAATAAACAAAGATCTCACGTAATTTTGCACTCGCTAAGACTAATTGCAATCAATTCTTTTAAAACATAAATAATATCAGTGATTAAATGTGTGTGCATGGATCTCAATTAGTCACTTGCCAGGAGACATCAAATCGAATATGAGTAAATACATAACTAAAGCATAAAAAAAACCATGTAATAAAACGGAATCCTAGAAACAGAAGACACCAGTAGATGATGACTTCGTAAGCATAGCATTTCTGTGACAAATCATAGGTGTATCATTTCCTTAATTCGCAGTAGAACTCATCAAAGAGAATAATAGAGGAATCATACTTTTAAAATGCACAGTAAATGCAGCCCTACATAATGCTGGATTACAAGCAGAGCTATAGTCTAGTCGAACTTTTAAGAACTTGGCCGTCAACTCTACTCAAACCCAGCATTCAGCATGAATGACCCCCTCGTGAATTTTTAGGGTGACTTCACAAATCTCCTCACCCCTCCCACACCCCCCCCGCAAAAAATAAAATTAACTAAAATAAAATAAAAGATTTGGAGGTCATGAAGTGCAAATAAAACAATCCATCAAAAATCAGCTCTCATGTGTTGTTATCCTGTTGTACCTCAACATCACAATCCTTTATTGTATTTTGTGTGTTTCTTGATACATAATATGCACTCAAGAAATCCAAAATAAAAAATTAAAAATGATTGACTCTTTCCTTCATTAAATAATCTAAGTTTTTTCAAGTTTTTAACCAAACAACTTGTACAGCATGCTCCTATCCTAGGAAGCGTAGCATGTGATGACGGCCCCCAACCCCACTCCCGTTTCTAGCAACTATGCCGAGGTCAAGCTCAAGCCCAGAAACATTCATCAACTTGGAATAGCATATAACCAAATGAGTAAATAACTATGCACCAAGAGTGGTGGATAATGCCTCTCTAGTAAAAACCCCACTCATGAGTGCCTACGTGACTACATAGGTGTTTTGGGTGAATCACCAAAATGGCATTTTGTATACCCATGGACAAAAATAAGGCTAGAGGTAGAGGGCGTTTTGGAAAATCTTTCCCCTCATGGTGGGAACAGCTTCAAGAGGGCCTTATAGCCCGTCCAAGTATCTCTTTAACCCATTGTTTTAGTTACGAGGATGAAGAAATTCAAAATTTTAAGTAATGGAGTTACATTAGAGCTAGAGATACAAGTTCATTCTTTTAGGTGAAAACCACATGTATGCATATTTGATGTAGATTAGTGTAAGAAAACTCAGCCTGGTCAACTCAAACTCGACCTAGAAAATTAGAATCGGCTGGTTGTTAAGAGTCTAGAACACCCCCTGAGTCGGGGCATATATAATAAAATTATAATTAATTACCATTAGTTTCTAATTGCTTCAGTCATTGACTAAATCAACTACAATTAATTTATAATTAATTTTTTTCTATACTCTTATGTTTTATGATTTTTCTATTTTTCTCAATTTTTTGAGAATTTTCTAGGAAAACGATCTTTAACCAATTTTTTATTTTTTTTAATTTTTTGAAAACTTTTTCTCATATTTTATATGCTTGTTGTGTTGTCTACCGTTTTTTTCGTTGTTTCTTATTTTTTTTCTGATTTTTCAGTTTTTTTCCCCTTTTTTTTTTAATGTTTCCCTTCTTTGGGTGGCCCAGTGGGAACTAGGATCAATCGACAGGACTAGGGTCAATAGACTCGAACTTGTCTAAGTCTCTCGGACCACCAAGGGCCCAAGTTCAGCATCTGAGCCACGGCTTCTTTCATTAATCTGCAATATCATATGTAAGTATCCTTAATTTAGAGGTACAAGTTCCCATCGAGGTACAAGTTCCCATCTCTTACGTAAGATCTTGATATTTTATCATATGATTAAGACAGCAAGAACAAACTTTGTTCTGATAAAGTATCATCATCATCATCATTATCATCAAATCCTTATCCCAACTATTTGCAATCGGCAACATAAATCTTGTTCTGCAAGTTTGCTCTATTAAGGGTCATACCCTTGGTCAAACCATAAGTCACCATATCTCTTTTCACCACTTCCATCCATGTCCTTTTGGGTCCGCTTGCCCTGCTAGACCCTCCACTTGAACCATGGACGACAAAATGCATGTCCTAACAATCTAAACTGAGAAAACTATAAAAGCATGAAAAGATCAACATAAAAGTTCTAGGTTAAAATTGAAAGAATTTCTTTTAATATAACAATAAAACAATTTAACAGACAGAACAAAGGACAACAAGTGCATACACAAATTATCAAACATATCGAAATATTAAATTATCAATCTAAATATTAAATTATTTTCTAGACAAATAGAACAGAAAGAAGATACATACTTTTCCTTTTACCAGAGCGGATAACCTTGAACATTTCATCTTCAGCTACAGGTCTCACCTGCATATAGAAATCAACTTGCATATATATAATTTGAACCTAAACAGGCCAAACAAGAAAGAAAAAGACTGATGGTCAAAAGCAAGGTCCTACACCTCCTTCATTTACTAAAGTTCATTAATAAAGGAATTACTGCGAATTGAAAAGCTGCTTCAATTTGGCCTCCAGAATAATGTCCAAATGATAACTCCAGAAAGGAGTTTAAACTCAATTTCCACAAGGAAAACACACACACACACACACACACACACACACACAACACACACAAAGCACACACACCACACCCACACCCACACCCACACCCACAACCACAACCGCAACCACACACATACACATATGCACGCACATGTGCACACGCACATGCACAGAGGATGGCAGGAGTTCTTGATTAAACCTAACTGCCCATTAAATATTCCCCAAGTCCCCATTTTGTGTGATTCTTTCATGCAAACTGCCAAGACGAAAAAATTGACACTGTGCAAAGTTGAAAACATTATTGCACTAGTCAACAATTAGAATATATATATTTAAACATGCAACAATATTAAGACCAAAACTTAAAAATCTGTTCATCTAAGAAAGCCTAATGGCTCAAACTCACTTGCACATAGAGACTTCCCATCGGACATAATGTTTTCTATAGTACTTTAAAAAGCCTTTAGTCTCAACAGAATGGTTTTATAAATCACAGAAAGGTAAACTCAGTGGCTGCAGCAAATTTGGGTGCATCCAAGGATGGAAGCAGATTTTGGGGTTTCATAAACAGATTTTCATTTATCGTTTATTACCAATGTTCACGAAGGCGGATGCAGCCGCCTAGGCGGCCAGGGATCTTGGGTGCCAAGACGGGCACCTAGGTGGCCGCCCAAACACAAAGGCAGCCTGCATTGGGGGGAGGGGCAGATCCTTGCGGACATAAACATAGACTTTAAATTGTAAATAAAATAGTTAAAACTCAAAAGCAACGTTAAAAAATAAAAGCAAGATTAATTTAGAACTACTAGTTTAAATATTTGAAGTTTCAAATTAGTCATCCAAAAAAATTAGAAAATGTTCATCTAAAAAATTACAAATAGGAAATGAAGTAGAAAGAATTGTTACATTGACCCTTTAATATCTTGAGTTCTTAACAAATCCAAGGACGAAGTAAGCAAGCATGACAAAGGCAAAAAAAAAAAAAATCTACGTAAAACCTTTACATAAAAATTGCAATGATATAACACATAAAATCGAAAAAACATATCACTCATGCAATTATTTAATAGCAATTGTTGAACTAACTCAACAAAATTATGAGGATAGAAGTCATGGTTTATGAATCATACAAGTAAACTCATGCATAATTTTTTTAAAAAAAAATACTCATTCAGTTTTGGGGCAATGACTTTTCCATTGAATTGCTTTTCCAAAGACCTAAACTTTTTGGGTGAATAATAATCCAAATAGTTGATAACATATCAAATATATATATCATAAAGTATCAAAAATAAAATACAAAGAGCCAAGAATAACATCACAAGACATTGTGAATAAAAAACAATTACATGACCTAATAAAAACTATTCAAATATACCAACCTTTTTGAAATGGAATAGATATCTGCCCAAACGGGAAAGTTTTTGGTTCCCAAATCTCCTCTTTTACAACCACTATAAGCCTCAAAACGATTGGGGATGAATATCCTTTAGTTTCGTAAGCTCGTGGAAGTTGAAAAAAATTTCGATCTCTCTATAAATCTTCAAATCTTTTTTTCTTAAGGTTTTTCTCACTCTAAACCTCACTAAAAATATTTTGAGAGGCAAGAATGGCCCCCAGTACCTTTTTGCCCCCTTTTTAGGAGGGAAAATGATGAAATTACCCAATGGCCGAGGGGCATTTTCTGCCCTCGGTCTCAATTGCTCGAGGCAGTGCCTAGGCCTTTACCTTTTATGCCGCCTAGGCGGGTGCCTTGATGCCCTGCCCTGGAGCACACTGCCTAGTCCACACCTAGGCTGTTCGAGAAAAAGGCCGCCAAGGTGGCTATTCATTTACTATTTATACTTATCTGAAGATAAATATTTCACAATATATATATAAATAAAAGACTGATGGACTTGTCTTCAACAAGTGACTGGCTGGTATCAATATGGTTGTACTAATCCATATCAGGGTCCAGAAACCATGTTTGCCATGTTGATCTTATAAGATGTAGATTGGACGCAACAATATTGTTTGTAGAAAAGAAGCTATCAGAGTCAAGTTACCTCAAACCTAATGCAGAAATAAATTGCAATCTTGCTTCCTTTTTTTGGAAAGGTTATCTGTTATTCCTAGCATACATCTTAAAACCCAAAAGTAGTATAGAGATAAAAGTCGTAACCAGCGACCAAAAATTTGTACCGAATCGATTTGACAACCTAAATCTACTCAGATTGGCTCATGAATAAGTTTTACTATAAATATCGGAAAGTGTTTAAATTAAATATTACAGGGAAAGCAACAAAATTTGCTGTATTCCTAGTTCCTACCCATTTAAAATGTCAAAAAAATGGTTACAAAATTTATTGTGGGTTTCAAGGTGGTTGTCTCCCTGCTTTAGACTTGGTTTTAAGTTTGAATACCACTTTGCCTCGATGATCTTTTTCTTTGGCAGAAATTGAAAGCCTCACCAAAACTTTATCCAAAATGAGAAAATTCAGACAATTGACATGGTTTTGACCAATGGGAACTGAGTTTCAATTTTTAAACATGGGAGCTGAGTTTCAATTTTTAAACATGGGTCAAGAGGGCATAACAATAAATATAACAGTCCAAAAACAACCAGAGAACATGCATACCTTGGGTAGTGGAACCTCCCATTTGCCTGCTCTCTCTTTCCTCTTCTGCTTGATGGTGTTGCTAAGAATCTGAGGAGAACCAGATGAATATTTATGACTCCAGCAAATATGAGAAAAAAGTGACAACAAAATATAGATACTGCATGCAATGACTGACTAGTTCATAATACCAATTTCAGTTGTTTCATAACAAAATTGTTACCTTTGCACGAGTTGTTGTTTCACGATCAAGCAGGTAGGCAGGAATGGCTCCTTTCTGGACATTATCATCCACCTTTCTTCTAGTTGACTTCTCTTCATGCATAGCAATCCTATTTAAAAAAAAAAAAGAAGGTAAAAACATTGCAAGTCCAAATAACATGTTCAATGTCATAATTTCTTCAACTATAGTCTTATTGAATTGAAGTATTGAACATTTATTCGCATCCATATACTACATTGTTCACACAAATTTTTAACTACACAGTTGCTAGACTTAGTTTAAGACATATAACAATGAAAAATGGTTTTAAAATGCGGCCACATCATGTGGTATGCGGTTGCCTCTGCATTGCAACCTGGCGCATATGCACTCTTTACTTATGCGCCCGCATATGCGCAGCATCAGGCCACATCGTAGCCGCATCGCGGCGCATCTCTTTCCGCCAAAACTGTTTTTGATGGACAAAATGGTCTTTTTGACCATCCAAAACTTAGGGAAACTGTTTGGGGGGTGGTATTAAACCCCTTAAACGAAGATTTCCAGCAACTTTTGTTGCTTTTTTTGCATCAAATCAAGGGAAAAAAAAATTGGCGGAAATTTCTTTTTTATTCAAATCTTTGATTTGGCGGTTGTTTGATACTTGGATGTTCATTTGATGCCTTTGATTGTTGATTTGGGGATGTTATGGTGAATTTGTGATAAGAAATCGGCGGTTTCGTAGGCCGTGAAGAAATCGAGCACTGCTTCACAGAGTCGGTAAATTTTTATTCCTTCTTGTACAATAGTACTGTTATACTTATTTTTCGGCCTATGGTGTAAATTTGTGCTTATGGTTGTTGATTGTTGAATGTTTGATGAAGCTAGTTTCAAGTTTCTAGTTTCTATCAAGAGATAGTGGATAACTGGATCCAGAATCTCCGACAGCTAATAATTTTGAAGTTAACCATTAAACTAAAATACCTACTATCACATATATCACCTCCATATTTTTTTTGCTTATGGTACAAATTTGTGCTTCTGGTTGTTGATTGTTGAATGTTTTATGAAGCTAGTTTCAAATTTCTAGTTTCTATCAAGGGATAGTCGATAACTGGATACAGAATCTCCGACAGCTAATAATTATGAAGTTAATCATTTAACTAAAATACCTACTATCACATATCACCTCCATATTTTTTCTATGCATTAACCTATTTTTTTAGATTTTTTTTAAAAAACTTACATTTATTGATCGCATCGTCGTGATGCACGCATCCGGGCCGCATCACCCCCCCCCCCCCCCCCCCCACCCGCTTTGGACGCATCCCGCATTTTAAAACACTGTGAAAAAGAAAATAAGCACTAGAAAGATGAGAATAAATAAGCAGCCTTACAAATGTTTGCCTCCTAGTAAACACCAGACACATGGGTCTAACTTCAAAGAAATCTAGCTTAGGTCCACCCTAGTAGAAAATGAGTTTAAAAATTTTAGATTGCTCGACTTAAGAGACCTCGGATCATAGATACTTAAACATTAATCAAGTTTCAAATAAGAGATAAGAATCATTTATGATCCAATAACTTCCATGAGAATGCTACCCTAATTTTTTACGCAGAAAAGGCCTTCCTTGATCACCTAAACTTCCATCACTGCTGTGTGTCCTTATTAGTCAAGTTTTATAATACGTAAGAGGGGAATTTACCACTCCTACTCCTGAGCTCTGAGCTTAGATACTACAACAAACCTCTACATATGCGTATCACCAATATCATCATTATAATCATCGCTCTTTCCCCAAGTATTTGGGGTCAGCTACACAAATCCTGATCTGCCATTCTGCTTCAAGGGTCATACACTTAGTGAGGCTATAAGTCCCCATATCATTTCTCACTACTTCCAACCATTCATTTTGGGCCTACCCCTTGCCCTTTTTGAGCCAATTTGTACCTCCTAACAGGTGTTGTACTTGATTTGGGCCGCACATGGCCAACCCACCTAAGTCCTCCTTCTCGCATCTTATTGCTTAGTGGTGCTACATCTAAATATTTCGAATTCTATCCCTTCTTGTCTTGCCACTCATCCATCTCAACACCCTCATCTTAGCTACACTCATTCTATGGGTATGTCATTTCCTGAATGGCCAACATTATGCTCCATAAAGCAAAGATGGTCTCACAATTGCCTTATAGAACTTACGCTTCAACTTCATTGGTATGCGACGATCCCGTATAACTCCAGTTGCACATCTCCACTTCACCCTCCCAACTCTAATTCTATGACATCTTCAATATCTCCATTTTCCTGGATTAGCGATCCAAGATATCGAAAGTGCGCTCTTTTTGGTATTTCTTGACCATCAATCTTAACTACTTTCATGTCTCTATTCCTATTATTACTAAACTTGCATTCCATATACTGCCTTAGTTCGGCTAATTTTAAAACCTTTAGATTCTAGAGCATCCCTCCAACGTTCTTTGAGTTAACGTCATTTGGGTCTCATCGATCAAAACTATGTCGTTTACAAAGAACATACACCACGGTACCTCATCTGCTTATTCCCAATATACAAATATGAAATATGAAACACCATCATCATCATCATCCATCATCCGAGCCTTATCCCAACTATTTATGGTCGGCTACAAGAATCTTGTTTCGTCATTCTGCTCTATCAATGGCCATACCCTCTTATTGAGTAACATAATGACGCTACAACTAATGCAGTAATGTAACCATAAATAAGAGGATCGACATTCACCCTTAGCTTTGACATACATATCCCACAACCTAACAAAACTTTTAGAGCAAATTACGTACGAACACTATTAGGACGGGTCAATTACCAATTGGCGTCTCATTTGCCCGAAATACGAGAACCCCCCCTTCCCGCGGCCTTTTTTTCTTAAGTTGCCCCTTGTCTGGCAATGAAAACACCGGACATGGTTTTTCTTTCCTAATTGTCTTTGTCTTTTGGTGGTTGAAATACTAGACAGGTATTTGGGTATCTAAGACCTTGCGAACGGTATATGTTTCGTGGTTATAGAGACTCTATCTCTCAATCAATCCCCAGAGTCTCTCTCTCTCTCT